CAACAAGAGACCGTGATCAGCAATCACCAATCATTTGGAAATCGGCCGATTATGATCGGTGGCCGATCGATCGGTACACCTCTAATATTAACATATTGCAAACATTACATACATCAACACATAGATGGGAAAAGATAAAGCTATGAGACGAAGACAGTAATCGGCTGTTTGCCAGTCAGTCTGTCTGGAGAAAAATCAGCCTATTACAGTCAACAGGTGTTTTTCTCTCTATTATTCTGTCCTGTGCTGAGCCTTTAACTTCTTATATATTATATATTTTTAACGCCTGTTGATGCCTATTCAACACATACCAAGGATCATATTGGAAGCACTCTGCCGCCATCTAGTGGTCATAGTTATGTGCTAGTTGGGCATAAGAAGCTAATGTCAATAAATACATTTAAATGTGCTTTTTGTACTATGTTTAAAGTAAAATCTCAACTTGAATTGGAATCTCTTTAAAGACAAAACCAATTTGATTATTCTTTTGTTTTTACATGTGTGCACTAATTACCTTACAATAAATAACATCCAGCTCCTTGCTGTTGTACTCTGTTTCCATTAGGAGTCCATCGCTGATGAAAAATGTCTGCTCCAGTCTGTCTTTGGGCACCGCTCTGCACTCCACCTTCCAGGTGAGACGTTGACGTTTCTGGAAAGCTTTTTTTTTTTTTTAAATTAGCAGCTCTCTGAAGACGGGGAGCTTGAACTTCTCAGTTTGAATTTTCAAATATTTTTTCAGGCTGCTCTGGCAGAGGCCTCGCTGCCGGGCCTCAAGAGGGAGCGTTCGAGCCGAAACCTTCGAGGAATCGACAAAGCGGCTGTCGGCAGCAGCAGAAAACAAAACCTCTCTCCTCCAGTCCAGCAGTGAGTCGTTCTTAATAAGAAGCTTCATGTAAACCGAAAACAACCACTAACCAAAATAACCAACACGGTTTTGCTTCTTTTTTTCTTGTTTCACTGAGGCAACTTTACTTCGAGAAAGTCAACGACGACGAGGGTCAGCTGCCGACACTCAATCCAGTCAGTCTGCAGCCTCTGATCCACGGAAACAGCGAGGAGCTTTTGTTTGACCTCGAGTGACCTTCTACCTTTACGACCTTTAACGCCAGTTCAAGCTCTCATTTAGCATCCTAAGATGTTTGGAGTAGCATGGTACTACTGCAACTTTACTGAGGTGTTTGATTTGAAGAGCATTTGAAATGAAATGCAGACACTTTGCTAAAGTGTCTGTGACCTTTGATCTTCTCCACTGTTTGCAGCCACAATGGGATTTCTTGCAAAATTCAAAATTACAAACGATTAATCAAATGAATCGTGATGAATCAATTATTGGAATAATTGTCAACTAATTTAGTAACTGATTAATCATTAACTGGAGTGTACAGACTCAGAAAAAGGGTAATTTACTGAAAACAACATATTCAGAGCAGTAATTAAGACAAAACTGGTAAAATAAATAAATAAATAAATAAAAATAAAAAATTGCATTTAGATGCAAAGAAAAAAAAGTCTTTGTCCTCAAGTTAGTTTTAGCTTCACCTACTTCTAATTCTGTAAAAAAAAAAATTTAATTATGTATTATTTGAGTTTTGTATTGTATCTCTAATATTGGATAGAAAAAGGCTTACGTGGTTAAAGGAAAAATCTGCTGAATATGACGATTTATTTCAACCGATTAATCGTCAGAATAGTTGATAGAAAAATTGATTTCTAAAATAATCGTTAGTCTTAAGTCCAGCCGCCTTCCTCTCAACTCTGATCAGCCTCCATGTTCTCCTGCTGATGAAAAACAACGCCCCACAGCATGACGTTGCTGCCACCGTGCTTCACAGTGGATGGGGAGGATTTCATCAGGTGTGAAGTTTAGTCTTTAGATTCTGCTGCTGTGTCAACTATAAGACAACACTTTCTTTCACCAGTCAGATTCTCTTCACTTGCACAGCTCTACCACAGTTACTCTCTCACAGAAAATCCCAATGAAACATTAAACTTTGTGTTTGTATCTTGATAAAATATGAAGTTCAGAGTTCGTAGATACTTTTGTAAGGCTGTGTAAAAGTACTGGATCAAATAAAGTTACTCTTTTGGAAGCTGTTTTATATATAATTGTATGGATAATGCAATAATTTAATCTTTGTGTGTCAAAACGTCAGTTTGTTACAAACATTTAACCACATCACTTTGTCAGAGGATCTCTGCAGGAAGAGGCTGTGATTATGAGATATTATCATATCGATAGCTCAAACATACTCAGTTACATATTTTATGTCCTATTTATTTATCCATTTTGGCATTACGCAAACATTTCTCCCTACCTGTAAAAATCTGCATTCCTCATCCAGTTCCAGATGTGGACAAAAAGCAAACCTGTGTTTAACGACTGGAAACAATGTTGAATTTTAAATTAAATTAGGTGGGGGGTTTTTTCTTTGTTTTTTTTTTTTTCTCGTTATTGTCACTGTGGGTTTTAAAGCAACTTTGTCAGCCTTTATAAATGCAACTTTTCATTTTCGAATCAAGTGATTGTTTTTCCTTTTCTTTGTAAAAACTTACTGGGACAGATGCATCAACAAAGCACATAACTGAAAGGAAAAACAAAACATGTCAAAATGGCAGAAATAAATACAGATAGGTCAAACTCTCACCTGTCTGTTAAGAAGTTGCAAGTTAAATCCGGATTTATTGGACTGTTTGTCGTCTGTGTTCTTGTGTAATTAAAAAGTGAGCGAGACGGTAACATGCAACAGCTGGAAACGCACTCAGGAGTTTTCCTGAGTCTTTCTCCAGTCAACAAAAACGTGACCTCTGTGTACCGAGGTCATGTTTCCTGTGGTGAGTTCTGTCGGACTGGATTTGTACATAGAGACGTCGTCGTCTTTGTTTATTTATTTTCGGCGGGGCGTTCAGGTAACCCCGACATTTATTTTCTCTACGGTAACTTGTAATGGAAATGTAATGGACGTTTTTGTCTGCAGGTGTGAGTCAGATGTGTGTCACTGAATAAAACATGTCAACTTATTGTACATTTTAATACGCTGCATAGTGTCTTTTTAATTATTATTATTGCTTTTGGCGCACCCTATATCTCCTGGTGTCCCACAAAAGTTATTCACACCCACTAAATATTTGCCACTGTATAAAAATTCAGTTCAAGTCATTTCCCCTCGTGTCCCGTTCTTGTCCTGTCCATGTTGGTGTTCCACAGGGCTCTGCTTTGGGGACCATTGTTGTTTCTGCTCTACTCCCTCCGATTCTGTCGTCTTTTTGAGGATGTTTCCTAACATTTTCACGCTGATGACATCCTGTTGTTTACCTCTTATCTTCCAAATTAAGTTTTGAAACTTCGCATTTTACTAAAATGTCTGGATTCAACCAGAAGTTGGATGGCTGAAGGTTTTCTTGAGCTGAATGAAGGAAAAAACTGAAGTAATCGTCCTTCCACCAGAAAAATAAAAATAACTGCAAAGATAAAGCAGACTGTTGGTCGTCTTGGTTATTTGGCTAAATCTTTGGTTAGGCACCTTGGGCACCTTTTATTTTGGAAAATCCCGTCAAATCTTTGGTTCCATCCTGTCGTCCTAATGTCACCAAAACAGCTGGATCTCACAATAAGTCCAAATATAACAGTGAACAACTGAACACAGTAGATATGTAGTCATAAATATCCAGTCAATATTGATGGTAAATAAAATAAAAACAAGTTCTTATTAGTTTTAAATTTGGCAGCTCCTGAGCATTCTGCTGCTCAACTCATTTAGTTTTCTTTCATAAGTTGCACCACTGCCAAGAAAAAAAAAACCCTGACCAGACAAATGTCCTGACCTTTTGTGCTTTGTGTTTGTAATGAAACACAATAAATCGCTTCAGAAAACCTTTTAAAATCCGGTTCTACGTGAAAAAACTAAAAAAGCTGTTTTATATAAACAGCTTAGAGTAAAGTTAGCAAATAAGCAATTTTACTCAGATCACAGCTTCAGTCGCTGTGTGTGTGTGTGTGTGTATCTCTGTTTGTCTCTCAAGATGCTTCATTTAGCTCCGATTTTGGCTGACGCCTCTGCAAAACAGATAAATAAAAAATAAAAATGATGAACAGACAGTCCAAAGTGCATCACACTGTCTTGCTGAGACGGGGTGAAGTTGCATCTGTTCGCTGTGGAACAAAGGACTTCCTGGCTCCCTGTCTCGACTGATGTCAGTAATTGTCTTTGCCGATAACATGTTTGCTTTTGGTTTGCTGTTTGCCTCTCAGGGCTGCCTTTGATTCGCCGTCAGCCTCACCGCCTGACATCCTCCTCTGACTGAGAGTTAGCATTGTGCTCGACAACTTCAGCAGCTTCATTTGTGTGTTGCTTTGATGTGCGTAACCAACACGTTGTCAAATACAGCACTTTTGACAGCACGTTCCCCCCCCTTCCCCCAACAGCCAATCCAAAAAGGCTGGTCGTTTGTTCATTCGCTCATCGACATATAGAACAATAACAATGCCGTCCTTCACGGGACCAGTCGTCTCAACAAGGACTCGTCATCCACAGGAATAAAATGGTGGACTGCGGGCCTATAATGTTAAAGTAATTTGGAGAAGAAGTGGCCCGTGCTGAACACTCTGTCTCCACTGTGGAAATTGGTGGGTGAGTCATGCTGTGGGGATGAGGGACAGGGGAGCAGGTCAGGAGTGGAAGAAAGTCCCGGAAGAAAACCTGTTAGAGGCGATGGAGTAAAATGTCCTTTCACTTCACAGTGATGCGCTACGTTTTGTTGGCTCACCTCATAAAATACCCCCCACACTTCCCAAAAAAATAAAAACAGTGATTCAATAATACGGTATGTAGGCCTATAAAGTTGGCATGGTTGTTTGTTTATTTGGATCCCAATGGGTACTCTTCCTAAGGCCCCCAAAGTGTGTGGATAACAGTGAGACTTAGGGGCGCACCGATTGCAGTTTTCTTTAAAAGCTTGACCTGGCGATTACGATTTTTGTCGGAAACACTCGCTAATTATGGCAACAAAGCCACTAAGTTGACAACAGTGGGGGTGACTGTTGTTAATCGCGCATGTGCATATATGACCAGGTGGTAATAAGTTGTAGTAAGTTATAAAGGTTAGCTAGCTTTCACTCTCTAAAGTCGCCAAAGTTTAACCTTAATGTAAAAAATGTGCTAAAATGCTCAGGTTAGCTTAACTTAAGCATGTGGAGTGACTGACTTAAATCTATTTAGCATACAAACATTATTGTATGAGCTATAGTTAGCTAGCATGTTAAGGTTAGTAGTAGTTTAGACTGGTTTCACATAATTATCGGTCATTCGCTGATTTCCCGAAACGAAGAAAATCTAGGCCACATTATGTTGGCTAGTTAAGATGTCCCCCCGCCCCCTCTTCCCCACTTTCTTTTATAATATTTGTGCTATTACCGCATCCCTAGTTGCTATTAGTGTTTGTTGTTAATTACCACATTTGTGCGGCATGCGCCTCCGCCGTGTTAGGCGACTGAAAGCAGAAATGAGGAGACGACCTCTGATCAGCCCGGCTAACAAGCGGCCGCTCACACCGGGTCTGCAGGGAAGGGGAGTGTTGTTAAGGCGCCGAACAAAAACAAAACAAACCGACACACAGAGCCTCTCACACAGCCGGTGACTCATGTCAGCGTGCTGGGTGTTGCTGTGGGGGCTTCCTGACCCCACAGCAACACCCTGCCTTTTGCTCTTCAGACAAAAGGCTGGAGAGCAAAAGGCTGGAGAAGGTCCTGCAGCAGCGGGCGACAAACATGAGAATCCAACATGCCGCCGGGAGAAAAGGCGTCCGCGGAAACGAGGCCGACTGAAGGCAAGTGCTGGTGGTCTGACCGGACACAACGGGCCGTGTAATCGGTTTTCTGTATAGGTACAAAAACATGTTTGTTCTGAAGGAAAACCGCGTTCATAAATGGCACACTTGTTTGCTTGTAATTAAAGTTTTGTTTTAATCTGAACAGTTTGTGCATCACGTTAGGCAAGCCATTAAAAAAAAAGACTATTTAAAAAAAACAAAAACAAAAACGTGACTTTTTTTTTCCAGAATAAAAGTTTTAAGCTGAATCTGAGTCAGAGTTTAGATTTTGTGCCAGCTGTGATTTTATCGGTTTGGGTGTTGACTTAGTAAAAATGTTAATTTTATCATCTAATCTTAGGCTGCTATATTGGAGACATCTAACTGTAGTTTTGATCTATCAGCACCTTTATTTAGTTAATAGGATTCTAACAATTTTTTTATACAATAGATATTTAACTTGTGTTTTGATATATAAAATTTACCCCCGTCTCGTCTTA